CCCTCATTTCATCCACTTCTATACTTGCCTTCCTAAACCACGTAGTCTGGCATGACTATCACATCACAAGCTCTGTTTATAGGTGATGGGGATTTCACAAAATGCACTACCTGCCAGTGGAAAACAGATTAAAAAAATAGTGTTCCCTATAGTACTGAGAGCTCTGTCAGATGTAAAAGGTGTGGGGAGAGGGAAAAAAGAGTAACTGCTGAATGGGTGTGAAACCTCCTTCTGAGGTGGAAAAAATACTTTAGAATTAGACATGAAGATTTAGGACGCTAAACCCAATATTGACAGGTCAGAGAAAGTTTTATAGGTGATATGGCTTCTGAAAACATGTAGGAATTAAACAGATGAAAAGGGAAAGGGGACATTCAGATACAGAGAGTAACCAATATGCAAAAGCCTGGAGGCCAGCGATCACAAGGAATTCAGCATGGAAAGAGCATACAAGGAAGAGGGACATAGTTGCGAGAGCTGAGTTTGGATGTGGGGCGGGTGAGCTGAGATGGGACCACAAAGGCCTTATATGCCCTTCCAAATAATTTGGGCTGTACCCCAAGGCCACCGAGGAGCCTTTACAAGGTTTTAAGCAGGGGAATTACATGATCAGATTTATAATTTTGAACTACCATATTAGTATAGGCAAAGATTTGGAGGGATACAAGACTGGAGTCAGGAAGCTCAACTAGTTTGCTTTTGCAGTAATCCAGGCAAGAAAATGTAGTTTCTTTAAATAATTTGGGAGAACTGGGAATGGAGAGAATTGAATTGATTCAGGAGACATTAAGGAAGAGTGGTTGTTAGCTAAGGGTTAAGGAGATGGGTGTGGGAGTGGGTGGATAAAAAACAAGGAAAAGTCACCTTTTCAAAAATAAACTACATAGTAATATTTGCCACATATACCAAATAGATTAAATAGGCTTTTTTTTTTTTTTTTAATAAGAGAATGTTTATTTAGAAAGTCTCAGCAGTAGAAGTGATCCTCTGAAAAAATGAGCTCAAGTAACAAGTTTCAGAGGCAAAACAAGGCCACTTGGAGTTTAGGAGGAAGACAGAGGCAAGGGAACTGTGCTTGGGAGGGGGGGTGCGGGGGAAAGGCTGGAGGAGTCATGTGCCCCAAGACACTCCTAATACGCTGCCCCTCACTCTGCAGGGCTGAGAATCATGGCCACAGGTGTTATAAAGCAAAGCTTTTATACCTCATATACTGTTTTTCTGATTAGGACTACGTGTATTAAATTGTACCTGGTTTGAGGGGAAAATAATTTTAAGAAAGAACCACTATTGCCTCCACGTTTTCTAAGAGACTTGAGTACAATTATAATAGAAATTCAATGATTTAATTTTTAAAAATTTCATGCTTTTATCATTTTTATTTCTTTCATAATACATGAAAGTGCAGGACTCTTTGTTTGGGTGTTTGTAGTGGAAGTGCCAATTTTCCTCCCCAATTTATGTTGTGAAAATCTGATTCTAAGATCTTTTGTTTCTCCACCGACGGATTCATGTGATGGAGAAAGACATGGGAAATAAAGAACTAATGCTTTTGTCCATCGGTCATCTTACCTTTAAAGATGGTTGATAATCATAACAAAAAGTAAATTTTTAAGGGTCAGACTAATGAATTCACAAAGCTATCCTATTTTTGCATCAGGAAACTTAACCGTCTGCTTTTCTTCTGCCTCTTCATAACTCAATCCATGTAACCAACACCTAAAAAGGAATCTCTCTAAGGAAGATGACTAAGAAATGATCTCCTGATCTTGGCTGAAAGGATATGGGGAAGTAAACTTAAAATAATTCATGTTTATACTAAGAGAAACTGGAATAAAGGCAGCTTGCATTGTCTTGTTTGTTCTACAGTTTCTCACTTTACCTTGAGAATTCAGCTTTCCGCTCCATTATCAGAGCACTTTTGTGGGGAAGGAAAGTTAAACTGGAAAAGGAATTGTCAACTAATTTCAAGACTCTGTTACTTCCAAAGTTTCAAGGTTGATATACTACATATATTACAAAGAATAACACAATGGCTGATTTTTTTTTAAGGAGCTAACTGTTATGTAGCATATGGAGAACAGGAGAGAGAGAGTTTGAAAAGTACAAGATCTGTATTTTTTTAACTGTTGTGCCTATGAGGTTTTCTTTTTTCCCCACCTTGATCCCTTCACCTTTTTCATCCAGCCCCCCATCTCCCTCTTCTCTGACAGCTGTCAGTCTGTTCTAGATATCTATGCATCTGTTTCTATTTTGTTAATCCACCTTGAAAAAAATGTAATATTCTAATTTATAATATATGTTTATGAAAGACATTTTGCTAGATACCTTAAAGTATGAAGAAGAAAACAGCCATGATCTCATTGCCCAGATGTAACCACTCTTAATATTTTTCTGTATCATTTTCTTCATGGCTTTTTTATCTTGCATATTCACAGTTTCTAAATTAGGCCCAGTCTCTACAAATAGCTAGCCCCCTCTCTCCATTATGTTTTCTCTATTTTGTTTTATAAATCATAATATATACTCACTATAGAAAATCCAGAAATAACAGAAAAGTATAAAAATAACTTAGCCATACTCAGATAAGTAATAACAAAAATAAATAAAATAAATACTGATTTACCCTTACCCTCCAAACACCATTAATGATATTGGAAAGTCCACTTATACACTTTTTATATACTATGTATGTGTATATCTTAATATAGCTGAAGTCATACTGTATATAATATTTGCATTTGACTTTTTAAAAGTATAACACACTTAAGGTTTTTGTTTATATTATTTTTAATGTCTGCCTAATATCTCTCTTTATCCGCATTCCTTAAATATCAGGTGTGTAGAATTCCAACGTTTTATTGTTACATATCTTGCTACTCTGAACATCTTATTTTTGCATAAGCTTCATCCATATTCCAGGAAAATTTTATAGAAAGGGAAAATAAATAAAATCCGTTTATACTATGACTTGTGCATTTTTGTGTTAATTCCTTTTTTAGTAATCTGGGAATGTCCTTTAAAAAGTATATTCTATGCATTTGCAATTTGAGAAAAATTACTGGCCCTAGTCTGTTTAAAAATAAAATTTTGTTGTTTGATTCCCGGCTTGTAATATTAGTTTAATCCGGTTTATACTTTCATGTCAGTAGGTTGGTCTAACAAACATCGTTAAGGTACAAAAACTCAGTATCACAACTCTAGACAGGGATATGTTCTTATCAGGTGTCCCTTGAATGTGCAGTTTTCTGGCATCTTGGATCATCCTCTTATGGACTTTCTTTAACAAGACATGAAATTAAAATGCGATCCTTTTTACTTTTGTTTTTTTAAACTAGACACTTCCATATGAACTCCATTTTTTTAACGACACAACCCCTCGGATTTCCCATCCCCTCATAACTGGCTCCTGCCTCCCCCAGACCACCTCCTCCCCTATTTGTTTTTTTAACGTGTTTAAGTTCTCACGCTACCGAGCTGATTCCTCTGTTTAAGAAATCTAGTGTTCGTTGAGGAACGTGAATGCCCGGTTGGCTGTCCGGAAGTGACGCTACGTCCCCGCTACGGTCGTTGTCTTGTAAATGTGCACGGTAAACCTCTGTCTCCCACAGCAAAATTTTTTTTGAAAATTAAAAAAAAATCTTGTGTTTAATAATCTTAACCTTGAAATGTAGCGACCCTGCCTCTTTCTGCCTGAGATTTGGACCTTTGTGTTTTTTTGTTTGGTTTTTAAAATTCTTCTCACTCATCTTTTGGCTACAGCCTGGCAATGTGGGCCCCGCCCACACCGTGACCCCACCCCCCTGATTGCTAGCGTTCGGTATCCATGGTTACGCGGATGCAACAGAGAGTGTCCAGCTGTCCTGAAGGCTCCCAGGAAGAGTCGGATAAAGACGGCTCTTGCTTTAGATTCTGGCCAAGGTCAGCCCACTCAGGGCTCCGTGGCCTTGAGTCCGAGATGTACTCCGTGAAGAGGCGAGAGTAGGGCGGCCTGCAGAGCCCCGGCAAGTGGAGGATCCCGTCCAGCCTGATTGAGTGGGGTCAGGACTCCATCCGCTGCGCCGCAGTAGAGCGGAAAAAGTGGTCACTTCCGACAGAAGGCGCCCAGGTCCGCAGGTTAGGACTCTGATTCGCCTTCGCGTCTCTGCTCAGCGTCGCTCGCACCTCCAAGGACCAGAACTTGGGAGAGAGAGTGCTTCAGAGGGGTGGGAGAGGGTTCTGAGCGGTGTCAATAGTGACCCCGTGTGCAGACGCAAGCACACACAGGTGGCTAATATTCTTGGAGTTCTTTTTACAAGCTGATATTTTAAGCGCTTCTGCCACGCACTATTTTAACTACTTAATATATAACAGTCAGTTCTAGTCACGATGGATCCCAGGCAAGCTTGTTGTACTCGGCAAAATGCCAAGTGCTACCTTACTTGAACACTAATAATGCTAAGAGTTAGCTTTGTCTACCTGGGATTGCCTTTGTTTTCTACATGCTAAATTCCGTAGTGCTCTGAGTTACTAATACCCAGGAAAATCCGAACACTCCGTAACCATTAAGACGTACCGCTTTTCTTTTCTGTTTTATAGTACATGGAATTAATAACCAGGAGTTCACTTTTTCCCATGATGTGTAACTCATAATATGTTTTCAATTTTAGTTCTTATGGTTTTAAAAGAGAATTTAGATCTGAGCAAGAACGGCTTTTCAGAAGTCTTATAATTATGAAAGGTCATTTGGTGAATGTGGTGGAATAAACATTTCCCCTTTAAATCTGTACTCTGCCATCTACACAGTCTGGGGTGGGGTTTCTCATTAATTCTACTCCCTCCATACTGTTTAGCTTTTTTTTTTAATTTAAAAATATGATATAAATTTATTTTGGTGACCACATCACTTAAATAAAGAGGAAATGTTTCAATCATTTGAAGTCCCAATTTTTCTTGCATCAACAAAGTCATTTATTTTTGTAAGTACAAATCAAATTAACTAATGAAAAACAGGAGAGACCTACATGCTAACAAATACTGATAAGTTAAGTTATATTGTGACTCTTTATAAATGAAATATAAAGATAATTTAAAGATGAAAAATAATATATATACATATTTTTTAAAAACCAATTTTTGTTTTATTTAGCCAGAATGCCTCCCACTCAGGCAGAAAGTGTTATAAAGAATATCATTCGAGAAATAGAACAAGAATGTGCATCCCATGGAGAGGTGCCTTCTGAAACTCTGGTTGCTTTTATGGTAAGAATGAATATTTTTGTGAATTACTGCTTTATTAAAAAATTTTTTTTTAGTGGTTTGGAAACATCAATAATGTACTGTGTTGGAGTTTTTATAACAATGTTTTTGTTCACTTGTAAAAATTACTCATTGCCTTTGTCTCTCAATTTTTCTTTTGGTTTAACAATATACAATAAAAACACAGTAGAATATTCAAATATTTTCCCAATCTAAAATCTAGCCATTGCTTTCAACCTGTTTCTCAATATAATATTTCTAACACCATATTCAAATTTGATGAAGGTGCTAATAAGTTGGGTAATAAGAAAGTCAGCTGAATAATCAACACCTGACTAATCAGAGGCAGTTGCTTAAAATTGGAAACGTATTAATTTCATAATAATATGAAATAAAATTATTTAATGGACTCTTTCCTACTATCAGGTGAAAGCTGTTGTCCTGGATCCAAGTAATGGCTTTAACATGGATAAAACCCTCATAAAAAGTGATGTGCAGAAACTCATTGAGGTGACTATTCAACAATTCTCAAATTTTGAAATATTTATTTGCAATTCTAAATACAGTATATGTGTTAGTCATTATTGACTTAAGCTCCATTAAACAAAAATGGTGCACACAAACAAGGGATATTTTTTTCCCCCCCATAAAACAAAGTCTGGAGGTACATAGGCTATTTTTCCTGGATTCCTGGGTCGCCATCATGCATATGGATTTCATTCCAGGGTCACAAGATAGCTATTCCATCTTGAGACAGGTAAAAGGGGAGAGGACAAAGAGCAAAATATGTGTGCCAACTGGGTCTCCACTTTCCATTAGGAAAATAATGGCTGTCCCAGGATCCCTCCCATCTGCTTATGTTGATTGACCATAATATTTCAAGTCAGCCTGGGATGTTGGGTTTTTTCTTTCTTTTCTTCTTTAGCTGAAGAAATCTTTGCCCCAACCCAAATCGGGGCTTTGTTAGTAAGGAAAAAGGAGTATAGATAGTGGCTGGTAGCAGTGTCTGTTGCAGTATTTTAGAGACATCTTGTTATTAATCTAATGTTACATTCAGAACATTACCAGCTGACTTATCATATACTGTAAAATTACATAGCACTAAATTAAAATTCATATAATTATTGACTCAGTGTAATTTTTTTAATTCTGAAGGAAAAAGTAACTAATAGAAATAAAATAGATGTATCTGAAAACCAGTTTTAAGAACTAAAGGACATCATTAATTTTTTCGTATGTTTTAAGTTTGACTCACCGGATTTAGGTGCTTAAATATTTATTTTCTAAATATTCCTAAATGTATTTTCTAAAAATTCAACTTTTTTTTAATCCTCACTGGAGGACATGCTTATTGATTTTTGGAGAGAGGGAAAGGAAGGTAGAGAGGGGAAGAGAGACATCGCTGTGAGAAACACCAGAGCTGTTGCCTCTTGTACGCACCCCCACTGGGAAATAAACCCACAACCCAAGCATATGCCCTGACTAGGAATGGGAACTGCAACCTTTTTTTGGTTTACAGGATGACTCTCCAACCAAGCGAGCCATACTGACCAGGGCAAAAATTCAACATTTAAAAAATTTCTCCTGGGCTTAATGATTTTAATTCCCTCTTTATGTAGAAGACTTGATGCAGGCTTTCTCAAAATTGAATATGAATATTTTCTGGGCTCAAACAAATGGCAGAGAAAATTTTCATCATCCTTATCTTCTCTCACAGCCAGCAGTTCACACAGCAGAGCGCAGGTCTATTTGCAGGGTCAGAAAGAGCTTTGAGAGCCTGAGCTGGGGAAAATGTTGTTAGGTTGACTGTGCATTAAGTACAGACTCCACGATTCTTTAAGGCAGCCTAGAGCTGGGGGTCTCTGTGGTGATTTTAAATGTGGTATCAGACCTATTCTTAGCAAAGAGGCGATGACTGGTGGTCAGTTATAAGTTTTATTGAAGCCTTGGCTGGTGTAGCTCAGTGGATTGAGTGCTGGCCTGCAAACCAAAGGGTTGCCGGTTTAACTCCCTGTCAGGACACGTGCCTGGGTTGCAGGCCGGGTCTCCAGTGGCAGGCGGCCCAAGAGGCAACCACATTGATATTTCTTTCCCTCTCTCTTTCCCTCCCTTTCCTTCTCTCCTAAAAATAATAAATTAATAAAATATTTTTAAAAAGAAAAATTTTATTGAAAAGCCACGAAGTAGAATCAAGAAGAGGCAGAAAATATTTTTCTGCTTTTCATGGCTCAAGAGTTGTTTGCTCTGGCTGGGTGGCTCAGTCGATTGGAGCGTCGTCCTGTGCACCAAAGGGTTGCAGGTTCATTCCTGCTCAGGGCACATACCTGGGTTGCTGGTTTGGTCCCCGGGTGGGGCGTGTATGGAGGAGGGAGGAGCGGCCGTTGGATGTTTCTCTTTGGCATTGATGTTTCTCTCTCTCTCCCCCTTCCTCTCTAAAAAAATTGGTGAACGTATCCTTGGGTGAGGATTTGCAAAAAAAAAAAGTTTTAATTTTTTCCTCTAATTCAACTAAGTTGAAGAGAATCAAGCTCAATATACTTTAATATGACAGGTATATTAACAATGTGTATTGTAATTCAAATGATAAAGTTTGTTGTATTTTTTTCTCAAAATTCATGTGGGTAATATTGAATGTAAAGTATACTTTTTTAAAAGTTTAATTAATTATTTTTTTATCCTCACCTGAGGACATTTTTTTTTTTCATTGCTTTTAAAGAGAGAGGAAGGGAAGGAGAGACACATCAATGGTTGCCTCCTTTATGCACCCTGATGGGGGATTGAACTGGGGATAGAACCAGCAACCTAGATTTGTGCCCTGACGAGGGATCAAACCCCCAGCCTTTCAGTTTATGGGACAATGCTCCAATGAAGTAAGCCACACTGGCCAGGGCAAAACAAGTTTTAATTAAAAAATATATTGCAAGTAAATGAAAATCACCAGGATGAGGCAGTCTTTGTAAATTCTATGTTTAGAAGAGTGCTTCTTCACTTGGAGAATCCAGGTGCACAGGTTTCATAAAGACGAAGTGTCCTGCCCTGACTCTTGCATTCTCCCCTCCCTTTGCCCAGGACGGCAAGGTTGGTGCTAGGGAGGTGGAGTGAGGGTGAGGCTTTTGATGTGCCTGCCAACTGCAGATATAAAGGCTAAAAAAAAGAAAAATTCAGGTTGATCATCCACTATACAGGGACAAAGCAGAGAAGGGGAAAAAATAGGAGAAAACAGACTGGAGGAGGAAATTTTGAAATAGAAGACAGAGCCAGAGAAATTTTGTGAGCAGGAGGTGCTTAAATATTTATTTTCTAATAAATAAAGGGTAGCTGCAGCAGCTTTTTAAAAAATGCATATGACCTCCAGCATCAGCAAAGGAGTCTTGTTTAAGGCTCAACTAAGTAGGAGTGAGGAAGTCTATAAAAGGTTTGAACAGGAGCCATAAGCTTCATGGAACATTTACCCGCATTCAGACTGTACAGACTAACCAAAATGCCAAATTTCTTGTCTTAAACTAGACTATTAACCCACCCGGGTATGGCGATACTGGTTCAGTCTGGGGAAATAACTTATTACTTAATAACTATTGTTGGTTGGGTGAATTATAAAGTATGAAATCCTCAAAAATAAAAAAAATAGTAAGAGAGGTTATTGGTAGAAAAGTATTAGACACTATTACTTTGATGTTTCCCTTATTTTAAAAATAGCTTTAGAAAATACTTCATATCATTATAGAAACTACAACTAGAAGTGTTCATGGGATATTCTTTTCTAGCTTTGCGTGAGTCGGCTATTGGACAGTAAAAATCCATCCCTGGATACCATTAAGATGCAAGTCTACTTTGATATGAATTACACAAATCGAGGTAACATATATCTACCAATCTTGATATGCTTTTGAAAAAGATTCATATTGTATTTAAGGTAATAAGGGCTTCATTTGATTGACAATTTTGTTTTAATTTTTTGGTCTACCTTTTGAAATTTTTTCCAAATTTGAAAAATATGATAATGTTGGAAATATTAAAGGAGAAAAACACCAGTGGCCTTTCTGAGCATTAAAAGTAATTCTAAGTATTATGCCCATAAGAATTATGTTTCCAAGTCTATTGTGTTTTAATGGTTGTACCTCTAATACATAATAATTTGAAATTGAAATAACCAGTCCATTGAAGTTAAAGTTTTTAATTTGCTGATTTTTTTTTTTTTTTTTGCTTCTGGTTTGTATTATAATCTCATATGCTTACCTAAAGTATATAACTGCACTGGCTGGTGTGGCTCAGTGGATTGAATGCCAGCCTGCGAACCAAAGGGTGGCTAGTTCGATTCCCAGTCTGAGCACATGCCTGGGTTGCAGGCCAGGTCCCCAGTAGGGGGTGCACGAGGGGAACCACACATTGATGTTTCTCTCCCTCTCTTTATCTTCTCTTCCCCTTTCTCTAAGAGTAAATAAAAAAATCTTCAAAAAAATGTTTAAATTATATAACTAACACAAAAGTGAATGATAGTAAATTTAAGTTTAGAACATATCTTCTTATGGAAATAGTTTAATGCTACATCACAAACTGGAAACAAGAGAAAAAGGAAAATAAATTCCTCTATAGACTACACTCCCTTTGTCCCACCGTAAGGCAACTATTGTTAGCCATTTGTTCATTTGCATTGTCTTTTTTTCCTTCTATGTATTGAACTTTCATTTACACTACATACATAAAATCATGTATCTTGCTTTTTTGCTTAATAATAATGAAAATTTTAAGTAATAAATAACCATGGAGTTGATATTATCATTTAGATTTTTTAATTGCCAAAAATTCTGTTTTGTAAAACGATTATAGGTATGAACTGTGCATCATTAATATATTAAATATTATTATAGTAAAATGAAGTGTTTTGTTGAGTTAGTGTCAAGGACTGTGCTGCTGGTGAATTGTGGCTGCCACAATTAACTATAGACCTCATCATATCGAAAAGAAGGGAGAGGGAGGCTGTTCTTGATGCAACATCTTATTATCAGTAATGCTATTCAAAGAAAATTTATCTAGAAGTACAATAGAAATACATATAAACAGAAATATTTACACTATGTCTATACTATATATGCTTATGTAAAGCATACATATATAGTACATACATTTATACTATATACCTTTACATTATATATGTATAGTATTGGGTTGGCCAAAAAGTCCATTTGGTTTTTTCTGTAAGATGGCTCTAGTAGTTTTTAGTTGTCTTTAACTTCATTAGAAACAAACAATTTTGTTAGATTGCATTGTGACATCTGTCATATCAGTGTGCATTTAAAAAAACATTGTCAAAATTGGTGAATTTTTGTGTAGCCATTTTAACGTTAAAGATGGAAGAAAATACACATTTTCAGCAATCATGCTTTATTATTTCAAGAAACGTAAAAATGCAATTGAAATGAAAAAAAAAAGAGTTGTGCAGTGTATGGATAAGGTGCTGCAACTGATAGAACGTGTCAAAAAGTGGTTTACGAAGTTTGGTGCAGGAGATTTATCGCTGGACAATGCTCATGGTCGAGTAGACCAGTTGAAGTTGATAGTGATTAAATCGAGACATGGAGAGCAATCAGCGTTCTACTATGTGGGAGATAGCCCACATGGCAAAATATCCAAATCAAAGTTGTTGGTGAAAATGAAAAATGTGTCTTTTATTTTACAGAACAAAAACACGAACTTTTTGGCCAACCCAAAATAAATTGCCTTGTATACTTTCTGCTTACTTGGGAGGCTTTAGCCCTCTGATATTACTGTTTGGATTGTCTGTTTAAAGTCTTAGGTGTTTTGACAAGTATGCTATTTAAATCGTAATAAATATTTCCCACTAGGTTTTTTTCTTGAAGTTAAGTGCTGGACACTGTTTATTATGACATCTTATGAAAATAGTTGTTTTCATGTAGTAGTAGAATTGCTGCACCCAAGCCATTTTTTTTTTTCTGGTCCTACTTTCTTTATGTGAGAAGAATTCTAAATATCAAATATATAGAACCTTGTCCTTTGCCAATTTTAGAGGAGTTTCTTGAAGAACACAACCGGGTCATGGAATCTAAATTAGGCTTTGTTACCAGAGAAATTACAGATAGCAGGGCATGTGCTCGAGAAGAATTGGAAAGCCTCTACCGGAAGATTGTCAGCTATGTGTTACTGCGCTCTGGGGTTGGATCCCCTACAGACATCAAGATTGTCAGAGAGGCAACAGGTAAAAAAGAAATTTCCATTCCATAAGTGAAAATATATGAACACTGTATCTTATAAAACATGTTATTAGATTACAAGTGTTGAAGATTCCTTTTTATCTGAAAAACAAAATTAGTCCAAATAAGAGGCTAAAACTTACCAAGACTCCTTTTACACTGTGTAACAACTTTAGAACTCAAGTAGCACCTCTGGAAATTGAACACTGTTAATATCTTAGAGCTGTGCCTACCGGGGGGCCAACTACTCTTCATTAGAGAGACAGTGGCAGTGTGATCAAGGATACCAGGCTAACTGGGCAGTGGGGACCACTGGAAAGGGAGGTTTTATAATAAGTGAAAGAGTTGAGTCTGTCACCTAAAGTGGATGATGGAAAAGGACATTGTTTTATCCTCAGGGAATACTTGTCCACTTTCATACTTTAAGACAAAGACTAGGTAAGATCTTTAACCTTCCACTGGCTTTCTTTCATAATTATTTTAAAGCATCAATTTTTCTACTCAGAGCTCTAATTAGAAAGCTCATTGCCAAAAATTACTGATGGATGTTTAATTATTAAAAACAGACATAAGGCAATGGCAGCATTTCAGCAGCCCAGTTTTAATACATGATAAATTTTGCTATGTATTCTGCAATCAGATGTTAGAAATTTAAAGAATCATATAAGTAATTCTAAAAAGACAGGCCTTTTAACTTTCTGCTGAAAGAAACTTGTGATTTAAGTTCTTATGTTTTTATTTTATAATCTTGTCCTTTCTGTGGTTTGTTTTAGCTGCCCTACAGAGCGTTTTCCCTCAGGCTGAACTTGGGACATTTTTATCTCTTTCTAAGAAGAACAAAGAAAGCCAGCTGAAAGAACTTTCCATGATCGTTACTGGAATTCGTTTATTCAACCGAGACACTGGAAAGGGAGGAGAAGGCATTGAGTACTGTAGGTATATCATTAGGTTAATTCTACAGGTTATGCAGGTTTAACTTGCATAGAGGGGAAGATAATACCCACTACACTACTACTGTTCTTAGGTTTCAGGTTTGATTGTACCTTAGTTACAACTATTTTTCATAATGTGTAGTAATTTTTAGCTAGTATAGGAGAGGGAATCAGTGAAAGAAATGAGGAGGCAAGCCCGGAAACCACCCTCCCTCATTCATTGGGCTTTGTGTATTTTACTCCAAGACGAGTAATGAAAAAGGAGTAAAACTCAAAGATTTTTGCACACTCAAAAATAAAAATCACGCTGAAAATAAAACAGTTGCTGATGCAGTTAATGGAATGAAAAGGTCCAAAATGAGATATCTTCAAATCTTTAAATTCAGGAGCATTTACTATGCTATAATATGCATTTATAATCTATAAGTCTGAAAGTACTCATGAAATATATGATCAAGGACCTACCATTAGAAATAACTTCCTTAGGAGTTTGGTGAACATATAGACCTACTGATAAGGGGTTAGTATCTTTCAGCAGATCACTAAGCAGGTACAATGGGGTAAATTTTTGCATTTTAAAAACTATAAAAGCCAACTCCCATTCCTCATAAAGTTCTCTTTTGCTAGACTATTCTGCTACTTTTCAGTATCCCAATGAGTTTCTTAAGTTGCATACTTTTTTTTCCTTCTTTTTTACAAACAAAAAAGAAGATATACAGAAGGAAAGATACAGTGACTTCCTTGGAGGCACATGGTCAATAGCACATAACGTCAAAGCCTGTGAATTCTTCAGGCTCTTCTGTATGTTAGTGGGAATTGCTGATCTGCTCTACCTTTTAGTTATTATTCTGATAATACATTTCATTTTGACAGGTTTTTTTGGGAGGGGATTCTTTTTTCTATGATGTAAGAACCATGAAATACATGCCTCATCATTATTAATTTGGTTGGCATAAGAACTCAACTTAATACTCAAAATATGACCATTTTTTAGGCTTTTTCTTCTTTATTCTTTCTAGACTTCTTCATGTCTTTCTTAATATACCTTTAAAAACAGTGCCAGCTATTCTACAAGAAGCAATCCCAGCCACCACTCAGCATATTGACTCCCAACTTCAGATTGCCCAAGAACAGGTATACCGCTACACGGCCATCCTTGAGAAAGTAACAAAGAACCCGCTCCTGACTATGGAACTGCAGCCATATATGTTAAAAGAAGCGCTCTATAATGTGCGACAGTACGAGATCTTCCTTCAGATCATTTTGGTAAGTTAATGTCATAAGATCTGGCCTTTTCCATAGCACACAACCTCTTTAGATATTATGGGACTGAAACAAAATGTAGAACCAAGTCATTGATAAAGGAGGTAACCTTAATATCTGCTCAGTTTATAGTGCATCTGAAGGACCAGGAACTAAAATAGAAATGGGTAAGTTGGATTTTGCTTTTAATGAAAATATATTGGTAGGAGTTGATTTTATAGTTGTGATCCTGGTTAGTACTCAGTAGTATGATTGCTCATATGATATAGTTAAGTGGGGTGTGTGTGTATGTATATGATAATACTGCAGTGTTTGCACTCAGACCAAGTATCTAATGTACTATTTGGCAGATAGTTGACACTCATATGATTTTGATGTAGTTATTTGTTCTTATTGTAAAAACTAATAGAAAGATTTTTATTTCTGATGTTTTTAGATCTAATAAACAAGCCACACAGTATCCCCAAAGAGCTGGAAAATATGGTAAAGTGTTTTTTTTTTTTTAACTTTTTAAAAGTAGCAGAGCCCTTTCAGACAGAAACCTGTTCAGGATCATAAAAATGTAAAATAGGTATTTAGATGAAAGAACTGGAGAATTTTTCACCATGGAACATCTTCATGGCACCCGAGGGTTCTGGGAAGCACAGTTTATTAACAATGTCATGACAGCAAGCTATGTTTCCACCAAGCACTGTTCTTATTTTTTTGTTTTAGCTTTATTGAGGTTTAATTGACAAATAAAGTTGTTAAGATACTTAAAATGTACAATGTGATGATATTGGGTTGGCTGAAAAGTTTGTTTAGTTTTTTCCATACAACAGCTCTAACAGTGCTTAGTTGTCTTTAACTTCCTTCGAAACAATTTTGTTAGATGTATTGTGACAACTGTCATATCAGCATGCATTTAAAAAAATTAAAATTGGTGAATTTTTGTGCAGCCACTTTAATATTGAAGGTGGAAGAAGATATGCAACATTTTTGACTTTTTATGCTTTATGATTTCAAGAAAGATAAAAACACAGCAGAAACACACACACACAAAGATTTGTGCAGTGCATGGAGAAGGTGCTGTGACTAACTGAACATGTCAAAAGTGGTTTGTGAAGTTTCTTGGTAATATTGACATTTTGGCCAAATAATTCTTTGCTGTGGGGCTGTCTTATGCATTGGAAGATGTTTAGCAGCACCCCGGCATTTACCCAGTAGAAACAGATAGTGGGAGACAGCCGACATACTCAAACTATCTAAATCAATGAAGTTATTAGTGAAAATGAAAAATGTGTCTTGTATTTTATGGAAAAAACTAAACAGACTTTTTGGCCAAATATATATATCTCCATTATATTCCCTGAATTGAGTTAACTTACTGAATATGTTTATCGATCCCACTGGTCCCTGTTTACATTTACAAAGCTTCTATTTTCCAATAACCGTGAGACTCAGGGTTGGTGGAACTGTGTTTGTTTAAGTGAGTACTAATGTGTTGAAGGATAGAACATGATGTGTTCTGGTCCTTTCTTCTTTTTAACTGTCATGTTAGTAACTTGATTCTTCTTTTGGAGGCACTTGACCTTTCTTTTTTCTTTACCACCACTGTAGAGAACAGAAAGATAAACATCCAGATGACATGATTTCATTGCAACAACTGAGGAATGGTCCTTAAAACTGATCTGCTATCTAATTGCCTTCAGAATGGAGGATTCTAAATCAACTATTCAAAACCAAATCATTCTTTAGGGTAGATGTACCCCTAACATTGACTTGTGGCTATCAGCCTTATGTAACTTGTCAGATAGAGGATTTTACAGTCAATTCATCTTAAAGTGCATAGAGGTCCACAGGAGTAGATGTCGCATTTCCTTTTGTCTTATGCATTTGGAAGAGATATCATAAGGATGAAACTTGGGAAACTGTCTCACACACTGTAAAAATGTTATAAAGAATGTTGTTCATCATATTAGTATCTTCTCACAGCTTTCAGTCATGAATTATGTTCAACCAACTAACATACAGTCTTAAATTCACATTGGATTTCTCACTCTCAGAGCTAGAGGGACAGTTGAGTAGAGTGTGTAAGTGATGAGTGTAGGCTCTGCAACCAGACGGCATGGGTTCTAATCCTGACTTTTCCACTTACTAAATCTGTGTCCTTGAGGAAGCTGTTTAACTTCTCTGTGCCTTAGTTTTCACATCTGTAAAATGGGGTTATTGAGAGTCTCCACTGTGCCAATAAGTATAACATTACCTGGCACATAGTAAGAGTTCAATAAGTTCATGATGATGGTCGCACTGCCCCTGATGATGTTTATTATTACTGTCATCACTGTCATTAGGGTTTTAGCAGAACAGCTCTGATTTCATTTTGGTAGGAGCACAAGGTGAAGAACTCTTATTTTTCTAGACAGCATGTCATTTCCAAGATCTTTGCCCCTCATGCTTTTTATTCACTTGTCTATTGATGAGTACTTGTGGCTATTGTAAATAATGCTGCAATGAACATAAGGGTGCGTGTATTCTTTTGAATTAGTGTTCTGCGTTTCTTCAGATATGAACCCAGAAATGGAATCACTGGGTCATACGATAGTTCCCTTTTTAATTTTTTGAGGAAACTCCATACTATTTTCCATAGTGGCTGCACCGATTTACATCCCCACCAACAGTGCACATTTTCTCCACATTCTTGCCATCACTGATCTCTTGTCACTTTGGTAATTAATAGTCATTCTAACAGGTGTGAGATGATAGCTCTTTGTGGTTTTGATTTGCATTTCCCTGATTTGTGGCGTGGAGTGCTTTTCATGTATCTGTTGCTTATCTGCATGACTTCTTTTGAAAAATGTCTATTCAGATCCTTTGCCAATTTTTTAAATTAGATTGTTTGGATGGTTTTTTGTTTTTGTTTTTGTTTTTGTTTTTGGCTATTGAAATGTATGACTTTGTTTTGTATTTTGGATATTAACCCCTTATGATATACGTGATTTGCAAATTTCTCCCTTTGGTAGGTTTCCTTTTCATTTTGTTGATGGTTTCCTTTGCTGAGCAGAACCTTTTTAGTTTGATGTAGTCCCACTTACTTATTTTTACTTTTGTTGCCTTTGCTTTAATATCAAAGCCAAATATTATCATCAAGACATGTTTAGGAGCTTACCACTTATGTTTTCTTCTAGAAATTTTATGGTTTCAGTTCTTATATTCAAATATTTAATCCATTCTGAGTTGATTTTTATGAATAGCATAAGATAGTGACCCATTTTCATTCTTTTGCTTGTATCTGTTCAGTTCTCCCAAGACCATCCATTGAGGACACTATCCTTTCCCTATTGCATTTTTTTGCCCCTTTTGTTGTAAATTAATTGACCATATATGCATGTTGTCAACTAATTTATTTTGGGGCTTCTTATTCTGATCCATTGATCTATATGCCTGTTTTTATGCCAATGCCATACTGTGTTGATTACTATAGCTATGTAATATAGTTTGAAATCTGGAAGCATAATACTTCCACCTCTGTTCTTTTTCAAGTTTGTTTTGTCCGTTTGGGGTCTTTTGTGGTTCCATACAAGTTTTAGGATTGTTTCTTCTACATTTATGGAAAATGTCATTGGAATTTTGATAGAGATTGCATTAAATCCATATGTGGCTTTGGAAAGTATGGGCATTTTAACAATATTAATTCTTCTAATCCATACGTACAGAATACTTCTCCATTTATTTGTGAGGAATAACTTTACAACTAAAACCTCATCATGGTTGTGAACAAATTCTTTTTTGGTAAAATGTAAACAGAGTGATTATTCTAAGGGACTAACAGGAAAATGTAAACAGAGTGATTATTCTAAGGGACTAACAGGAAAATTAAGAAGCTCTGTGTATCTACTCTGTGAATGAACCCTAAAAACATACTTGGGTAAGCAGACCTAGAATATCTTTAATATTAGGTTTTAAGAAGTGTTATGTTTCCTGGCCAGTGTGGCTTGGTTGCAGCGTTGTCCTTAACACCAAAAGTTTGTGGGATCATTCCCCTGTTAGAGGCAACCAACTGATGTTTCTCTTTCACATCAATGTTTTTTTCTCTCTTTCCCTTCCTCTCACTCTAAAATCAATAAACACATTTAATAAAATTTTTTTTAAAAAGAAGTGTTATGGGTTTAATGTAAGTTTTACTTTGGAGGACACACATAGATTTATTTCTGTTTCTTATTGTACAAATCTAAAGATTTTAAGGACTGCATTTTCATATTTGATCCCTAAAACAGAACTGACAGACGAGGGAGATAAATCTCTGTGAGGTAGACAAAAGACCCATTAGATAGGATAAATAATGTCATGTGGGAGAATGAACAAGAGGAGGGAAGGTACTTAAAGAGTAGTATGGGTAAAATTAAAACAGGGTGCGTGGTATAATTGTGAATAAAAATTTTTATTAGTTGAAGTACAGTAATAACATTTCATATTTCTTATGAAGTGATTTTTTTGTTATTTAAAAAGAGTCTACTAAAGAATATAGTTAGGCTATAGATAATTGAAAACTCAAATGTGCTTTTTTCACTTCAAGTAGATGTCACTCTTTTACATTGTACTGAAAAACCCATACCACCACCATTTCTGATCACGTCTTAGGCAGGATGGTATAATGGGTAAGAGCTGGGCTCTGGGCTCTGATGGTCTGGGGTGGAAACATGATTCTACCTCTAATTAGCTGTGTATCCTTGGGCAATTTACTTACCTTTCTGTATCTTGGTTTTCTTACTTGTGCTTACCCCTTTTTGTACTTACTAATACAGTGCTTAGCACATAGTAAGAATAAATGTTAGCAGTTATTTCAGACTCAGCGCTCAGCATCTTATTTTCATATTACTATTGTATCAGAAGTATATAATTTTTCTTTTAATATTGAGAGTTTTAAGATTTTCTGCATTCTTGAATGTACTTTTTAAAAATTTTCAAAAAATTTTTTCAATAGTATTAAAGTAGTTTTCAAAGGAACACCTCATTAATTTTATCATCGAGGAATGGAAAAATAACAGCTATGCAAAGCTGTGTCATAGGATCTACTTCTCAGGAATTCAGTATAATTGCATTTATACTGAATATCAAAGAATACCTGTATACATTTGAGAAAAGGTATAGCCATTGTGTTTTTAAAAATTTATCCTCCCACCATTATTTTTGGAGCACTGTCCATGTGCTGGTACAGTTCTCGGTGCCGAGGATACCACGGAGAACAGAATCTCTGCTCTCACTGGGCTTACCTTCAAGGGAGCAGGTAGGGCTTAAAACACATATGATTTGTGTAGTGAAATTATTAAAATATTAATACAAATTATTCTGTCTTCACAGTCAGAAATAATTACTTGTGCTCAAGAAGTGAAAATGATCACAAAGCAGTTAGGAGCCCAACTAGAACAATTAAAAACGATTGTGAACTCAAAGGTGGCTGTCCCAACATCACAGGTCTTTGTAAGTATCTGCCATCAACTCTGACCTTATTTAAGGGTGGATATACTTTGGAGTTCTATAAAAATGAATCGGAAGTAATTAAAATTATATGGGGGGGCAAAAGTAGGCATACAGTTGTTCGTATGGAAAACATACATTAGTTAACAAATAATAATACAAGAATAAACTGTTTCACATACAACTGTAAGCCTACTTTTGCCCAACTCTGTATTTAATAACTAAAAATGTAATACTGGTTTTATACAAGTTGGCTCTGTTCTTCATGGTTATGTTGTAATAATAGTGTAGGTTGGATGACAGGATTCCCCTGGTATGCATTTGCTACTAAAGAAAATGCAGATATATGTAATAATAACCATAATATCAGGATTAGCAGTGGCAAAAAAAATAATCCATAATACAATGTTGAAAATGTGTTCACAGTAGCTGGTTTCTAACTGCCTTCAGCAAAGAGGTGATGCAACTTGTGATTTTTCTGGACAGACAGATAATAATCACTTTGATTACCAGACCTGTATTTATGCTGACTTCAGATTATCTACACCACTTTATGAACAAACCTAGTAGCCCCAAGGAGGTATAAGATGCTCATGCAGTATTTTATAGAGCATGTGAGGCTTTGATAATTTTCCATAATCATTCCCAATATTTGATTTAAAAAACTAAGAAACCAAAGGCTTTGTTTCACTTATACGATGAGGTCTGTCTGGAAAGAGTCAAGCCATTGTTGATGTAGTGAGAATGGTTTGCACCACATTAATGTAACATGGCAGCCAAGGAGAGTGGACTGGAATGTGCGTGTGTAAACAATGATGACTTCACTACTAGTTAGTGGGGGCGGTAGATGCTGTTGAGTGAGCATGTGTACTGTGTAGCTGTCCCATTCAAAATGACTGAGTAAGTAGAGCAACAAATCTTCATCAGATTTTGTGTTACTCTTGAACTCTCCTCTGCGGAAACTATTCAGGTGATTCAGAAGGCCAGAGCTATGGGAAACTGATGATTGGCAGCTTTATCGCCACAATGCACCTGCTCATGCATCGAACCTCACGCAGAGTTTTTTGGTTAAGTATCAAATCACCCAGGTGACTCAGCCCCACTACCACCCAGATTTGGCACACTGTGACTTCTGGCTTTTCCCCAAACTAAAATCACCTTTGAAAAGGAAGAGATTTTAGACCATTGATGAGATTCAGGAAAATATGACAGGGCAGGTGATGGCCAGTGGAAGAACTGTGTGAGGTCCCAACGTGCGTACTTTGAAGGGGACTGAGATGTCATTGTCCTATGTACGATGTGTCTCGTATCTTGTATCTTCCTCAATCAATGTCTCTTTTTCATATTATGTGGCTGGGTACCTTCTAGACAGACCTCATATGTTAAGCCTGATTAGTTTTTCTGTTTGCTTTGTAAGTCAGTGACCTTTAATATAAGTAAAAAAATTTTATCTCATTGACCTAAAATCTTTAACTTATAGCTCACAGAACATGTCCCAAGATATATTGCTAGACCTTCCAAGTTCTTTTGAATTGTATTGAGCCAGGTTAAGTCTAATAATGAGTCAAATTTAGCCTTTTTATATAAAAAAGTTATTTTCCCTTTGGGCTTTTGAGGTAAAACACCCATAAATCTTTCAGCTTTCAGGCATGTCAGGCAAAAAGAGGAAAGCTTTATTTTCTCCAAAGTACACTTTTACTTCTAGTTATAGCCACACGGTCATTTGTGGTGCCTGCTGTTTGGAAATAGAGCCAGGCGATCAAATGTATTTGCTTTTTTTGAGTCAATTAACTGTATGATAATCATATTGAAATAAAATGCTTTGAAATAAAATATAAGTTTATTTTCTCACAATTTATGGATCCAATTTCTATCTAGATTCTTTTGTTTAACTTCATGGGCCTTTTACTTGTCTTAAAAATTAATTTCTTTATTTTCAATACTACAGTGACTATAATTTTATCAAACCATTACGTTGTGAACATTTTTCTTTTCTCTTCTTCAGCCCATCTTCATTGAACTTTCCAACCTGTGGACTAGCCTTCAGGATGAAACTGTTTTGATTGGTATCCTTACTAATTTAAGTACTAACCTTGAGCGATTTCTGGGCACTCATGAACTGCTCTTTCCTGAAAAAGTCATACAAGATCTTCTTGGTGAAGTGACTGTGAAAACTGATATGTGTCGATTGAAAGAACACATGGGTAATAGAAATCATCCATTATTTCCTCTTCCTCTTAAAATTACCTCTAGAATAATGCCACTCTTTTGTTTTAAAAGTTTCCTATTATATTTTCTGATCAAGTATTAAGCATCTTTCTTGATTGTAAGATAATTTTCATGACTGGAAATGTGGAAAACGAAAAAACGTAAACTGGATATCTAACTCTCTAGCAGTGACCCTTCCTAGTGTTTTGGTTTGTGTTTTGGTTAACTGATTTTCTGTGCTTATGTGTTTCTGTTGTAATATTAGTGATTTTTATTATCGATTTGTAGTAGGAAAGGATATTAACCCTTGCTACAATAGTTGCAAATAATGTTTCATTTTTTAGAATGCTATTTACCATATGTCTACCTCAGATTCAAGTTGAAATTTATAAATTTTATTTCTGCTAAATTAATTGAGCTTATTTTAGACCCTTTAAGAGATACATTGATTCTTGAAAGCCTGTCTTTATCAATAAACTTCTTTCTATTTTTGTGTTTCCTCCTGTTTTAAAGACAGTTTAAAATTCACAAGAAATGCAGAAATAGAGCCTGACACTTGGGTTGTTGCCTAAAAAGAAAGTTTGTCCAGAAGATGAAATTAGATAATTTGCTCTCCAAATTTATTTTCAAATTCTATTTTTGTAAAAGTGGGAAATAAAAATAAAGCAGCAGTTTCCATTCTTAAACTGTTAAAACACATAAAATATGAAAACAAAATAAAAAAGACTCAAAGGCATACTTCCAGTTATTTTTCTTACTGATTGTATTTTTATTAAAATAGCATATCTATGCAATTACTAAATTAAATTAAAAAGTTAGAGTCACCTCAGCAGTAGATATTAAACTTAACCATTTCAGCAAGGCAGTTTACTTGCAACGTAGATTTCATGTCGCTTCCCACCATACCTCAAAACTTTGAATTCACTAGACCACTATCAAGATACTGCTCCAGGGAATTAGGAGACCCAACGTTTTTCTGAAAGAATTTAATTTACTTTTGCCACATGTCACAACTGTTTGAGGCTTTCAGTCATACTAGGAAATAAAGAGGGAAGGTTTATTTTCTCCAAAGTATGCATTTACTTCTAGTTGTAGCACACAGTCATTTGTGGTGTCTGCTGTTTGGATATAGGGCCAGGCGCAGAAGTGCAGTAGGGTTGTGACGGCTAAGAATCTTGGGTCTCAGTATTTTATAAATTCATACACTTTTTTATTTGTGTAAAAAATTTAGTCAATTTGCTTATCAAATGTAAATAGGTTAGCCCACCAACACCGGGGAGAATGTTTAAAAGTATAAAGAACAAAAATTGTACACTTTTTCCTGAAAATTAAGATACAAAGAAATGTTTCCTTGATTCTTTCTGTTCAGAATATTCTCAACTGTTTCAAGAAGAAATAGTCCTAGTATATAAGCATCATAATCAAGTATTTTGCCCCCTGGTGTAAAATGCTGCACCATCTTGAATGAAGTTGATCTATCTCTGTTTTAGTTACATAGCAGCCAGTTTCTTTTGCTCACTTCCTTGGGTTGTTTACTCTTCCCACTGAATAAAGTTTTTCTTGTCCTCCTCCTTCATTTTAGAAGAAAGAGTACGTCTGGTGGATTTCAGAAAACAAGAATGGCTTTTCCCAGAAACAACAGCAAATTTTGATAAACTGTTGATTCAGTATCGGGGATTTTGTGGTTATACATTTGCTACAACAGATGGCCTTCTCCTTCCAGGTATGTCATTTGAAATAATACTGCTCCCACTTCCTTATTTTTTTTCCTTTAAATGAAGTACTGTCAATGTCACTGACTTATTCACTTTTTAAAACTTTATGGGATCTGATGGTGAACTAAGAAAGGAGCTACAAAGATGATCCAGGCAAAGTGTTCGTCTTTGACATACTCACAGTATAATCTGGTAGATGGACATAAACCAGAAATTATAATTCAAGTGATAAGTGATGGAATGTGTATTTAATAAAATATGGATGCTGCAGTATCATAAATGGGGGCTTACTCATATGTATAGTGATGGATTGGAGAAATGCTACATGACATTACTAAAATACATCTTCCTCTGAAGGAATTACTTGAAAGAGCACCACGAATTTGACTGATATGTTTATTTAAAAATATTCTCTGTCACTTTATGGTTACATTGCACTAACATAGATCGGGATTTCTGTATAAGACAGATGCCACTAAGGAAATGGCCAATTTCTTATCAAATAAATTCTCTTGCTATTACTAGAGCTTCTCTAAGACAAACAGTAAACCAGAAATTGAGATGAAATAAGTTATTATCCAAAAGGTCCTGTGTGAATTTGGGATAACAAGAAGTTGGCTAGGGCTAGAATGAAAACAGTTTGACAAGATTGTGTCTTATTTTCCTTATACTATTAAGCTCCTCCTTCCTTTTCTTCTTTCTTATTTCTTTTGTTATATTTCACAGTTGGATATTATTTTTTTTATTACAAATAATTATTGGGATTGTGTGTGTACAGGCTAGAGAACACATAAATTGACTCATTTTTATGGTATTGGATTTTCCACAATGGAATTAACAAAAAATTTACAATGGGAAACTGATAAAATAGTTTTCTGAGACCCCTGTGAGGGTCATTGATACTGCGGAGAAAACAGTCAAGATCCATGAAGAAATAAAGCAATGGAATGTAGATAGATGTTTTCTTTCTTCTCTTTTGCTTCCCTTTCCCCCTCCCTCCCTTTTTCCCTCCCTTTGAGTCATGAGAGACATGAACCCAGAGAAACATGAGTGTGTGTGTGACGGCAGAGGTAGCATGATGTGGTCAAACAAGCTATGGGCTGGAATTCAGAAGGGTCTCATTTCTAGTCCCAGCTGTACCATTAGTGAACTGAGTAACCTTTGACAAATCTCATGCTTTCTGTGGTCCTCAGTTTCCAACTCAGGAAAAGAAGAAGGAACAACTAGATGGTCTGTTTGGTCCCTTCCATTTTCCACAAACTATGATCCTAAGAAAGAGGGAAAAGAGAAAAGTAGAGGGCTTGTGGGGCTTGGGTTTTAGAATCCTCTCTGAGTAAGCTAGTCCTGACTATTTTATTTCTATTTACTACATTATTTCTTACTATATTATTTTCTGGGCAGCAGCAGCCTGCACTGCCTTAGAGGGATTCTGTAGCACGTCCCTCCTTCTGTTGGAGACTGCAGACCACAGCAGTTAAATCCTAAGGCGGTACTGTGGCTTCCAGTTGCCGTCCTTTTCAGAGGACCTCACTGGCTTCATTTCCTATCACTCTTTCCTTTGCTCACTACTCGGGCCTCGCTGCCCTTCTTGTTATTCTTGAACATGCTAAGCTCATTCTCACTTTACGGCCTTTGCACGTGCTATCCTCTCCTTGAAAGCTCCACCCCCCAGATAGCTGTATATATTGCCCCTCATTTTATTCAGCCTTCCCTGATCGCCCAGTTTAAAATATCAACCTCAGCCAATTTCCTTGTGCTGTGTGTTTAACCTACTTTATTTAGGTTTTTGTTTTTGTTTTTGTTTTCCTGTAGCACTGATCTCTCTCTGGCCTATGGTATATTTGTTGATTTGGTGAGTGTGGGGAATTTGTTTTCCTCTGTATCCTAGGTGCCAAGAACAAGGTCAATAAATATTTGTTGAGTAAATGAAAGAACAAAAAAAGTAAGACAGTATTACTGTTTTCAATATAACTCATAAAGTATGTTGATATTTCATAATCCATATTTTATGTGGTAACTTTTCACAGTGGGAAATACTTTCTAACATGCAAACTTACATTTTGGAAAAGATGTCCCATTTTTGTAGTTCTTACAGAATTATTTTTAAAACAATGCTTATATGGAAGTTTAGTTTAAGGAGATATGAGAAAACTGCTGGATGATTGGCCTCTCATAAAATACCTATATCTGTATAGTGAAATATTTTTATATAAAATCATGGTTTAAAATAAAAACATATAAAATTAATTTAATATGAATTACAAAAAACTATAATTTAACAAAATGTACACTCTATAATGGCTTTTTGTAACATTTTAGTAAAATAAAAACTTAAGTAATATTTTAAAAATTGAGTATAAAGGAAATGGTTCCATGGGTGTATCTAGAAACACAGAGTCACTTAATATTTCATAGCTCATTCAATTCCTTTTCTTAATTTTCAGGAAATCCAGCAATTGGAATTTTGAAACATAAAGAAAAGTATTACACTTTCAATACCAGAGATGCTGCGCATTCATTTGCAGAAAACCCTGAAAATTACATTGATTTAATTACAGAAAAGGCCAAAAAAAATGCAGAATTAATTCAACTACTGGGACTTCATCAACAGTTTGAAACCATCATTCCATGTTCTGGGGTAAGCGGGGTTGATGTTTTAAGAATTTATGACATTTAAAAATACAGCTTATTTAAAAGTTATATTTTTCTTGTTCCCCAATCCAAGCAGAGGGAGGGTCAGATGAGGAGGACCTTTATAGGCTGTTTGAGAGGGTTCACATCTGAAGATGGAAACTAAGAAAATCCACAAAGGATATTCTTCTCATTTTCTTCCTCTTGGTCTCTCATTTTTATTGTTCACCTTTTCATCATTCTGTCTCTTCTCTCATTCAGTTTCTCTCTTTTAAACTCACTAAAAACCTGAAATACATTGTTTAAATTTTTTTTTTAATTTTCACCAACATTTTGACTATGAAGCAGGTAGGTTTGTGTACAACTGACCAGGTCGGCAGGGCCCCAAGCAGTGCCTGGTAAGAGAAGGGTTGGGCTGGTGACAGTGAGGCACAGAGGGTAGTGTGAACACTTGGGCAGGGAGACTGGAAACAAGCTAAGGATAAAGTGGTCGAGGAGGGTATGGGGGGCCGCTGTGGTGGTCAAACCCTGGACAGTTCAGTTGGCGCTCTCATTCTGACAGAGTGCTACTCGTCTATTAATGGGACACTCCTTTTGGATGAGGCAATTCTCCAGAGCATTATAGGTTCCTCCTGATGTGGAAAGAGATTGGTGTATGTAGTATCCTCTGTATGAGGGCCAAATGGTAGGCCTGCCATTTTTGGCTCAGCTGAGAGAGGTTGCTGTCAAAATGACCAATTTAACTTCAGTCCATGAAGCTTGTCACTTAACTATTATCTTGCTAGCACTTCTACTACTGGGGTTTATAATTTTTTGCCAATGTGATAAATTTAAAATGGTATGTCATTATTGTCTTATTGTATATTTTTCTGACAGTGAAATTCAGCGTATCTTCTTAGATCTAATACTCAGATTTCCCTTTCTAGATATTGATTATTCATAACTTGTGCCAGTTTTTTTTTCTGTGAAATTACTATGACTTTTGCCCAATTTTCTATTGGATTTGTAGGAGGTTTTTTTAAAAAAACATATTTTTGATACTAATCCTTTATTAGATACATGTTTTGCAGATATATGTTCTTCCAGTGGTGGCATATTGGGGAACAGATTCTTTGGGGAAAGAGAATGAAAAGATATTCTCTTTTTTATCATGTTTTCTTAAATCATAAAAATATTATCTGAAATTGTTGTTTTAAATATAAATTTGCCTTTCACACTAGAATCTTTAATCACCTGGATTTGATATTTGTGTCTGTTTGGAGGTGAAGATGTAATTTTAATTTTTTTCCACTTAAATAATGAATTGTCCCAGCTTGTATGTTCAATACTCTCTCCTTTCCTCACTGTGCCTTATATACACAGGCTTATTGTTTTAGGCTCTCTATTCTGTTCAAATATTCAGTTTTTAAAAAATTCTTGTGCTTATATCTTACTATAACTTTATAAGTCTTAGTATCTGGCAATGTTCTCCCATCCTCTTTTCTCTAAAGAATCTTGACTATACTTGACTCTTTAGTTTTTACATAAATTTGAGAATTACATTGTCAGGTTCTGTAGAAAACCTTGAAAGAATTACGAATTTGCATGTGTATAGACAAGAATTATTTCGTCTTGCTATCATTTATTTATAACTTACAGAGTTGTAAGATAGCTTAAAGACAATGAAAGGGTTACAATGGGATAAACTCACAGGTATGCTGTATGTAAACAATGAACAGTTTTACATAAAGCGACAATTTCCCCCTATATATCTGGTCTTGTTTTTTTCTATTTACCATATGTTGCCATGTATAATGTATACCCACATTTTTGGCCCAGATTTTCAGGGAAAAAACTTTTGTTTTAATTTTTTAATTCAATTTTTTTATTTATTTATGTTTAGAAACAAAACTGATGATCATATTCCAGGGTATTATTTTGCATATGAATATCATGATTGCTTTCTAGAGTTACACTTTTAACACATAAGCATAAATAAAAGAATTAAAAACATTTATATAGATAGAGAATTAGTACTACCCATGTATAATGCGCATCCTTATTTTTCCCTCAAAAATTTGGGCCAAAAAAGTGTACATTATACACAGCAAGACGGTAATTCCCAGCTGTTCTTCAGTGACCTTCAGCACCTCCCTCCAATGCTGTAGTCCTTGTTATTCACTTGCCATTTACTTGTACTGTATAATACCATTAATTATCTTTTCAGCATGTTTTTTATCTGCCTCATTATATCATAAGTTTATTTTTAAGGTAAAAATTATATCTTATGTTAAATGATAGGCACTCGTATTTGTTGCTTGACTTGGGAAAAAAGTTCATCTTTTCTCTCTCCTTTGTGCTATGACTGAGTTCCTGGAACCTCTGTCACTCCTCCAGCAACTTCATAGCCAGCATAACTGTGTCATTTTTAGCATGGAATTACTGAATAGTACTTAATATTTAAATAGTATCAATGAACTTCTGGGTATCTCAGCGGAAAACATATTCAACTAAAATAAAAAAAAAAACACCTCTTGGATAATAATCTGGCTATGTATGGGGGAGACCCAAAAAAATCCCCCAACTATCTTCTGACGGGTGGGCCCTTTGTAGTACAGGCTTCCCTGCTAGGTGAGTGTTTCCGAAACCCATCTGTATCAGTGCACCAGCTGGTGGTGGTGTGAGAGGCTGTGTTCAGCATCAGTCAATTTTTTTTGAAGATTCTTTCAAGGCATTCGCCCATTTCATGATGAGTGATGACTCGTGCACCTGCCCATACTGCGCTGTGTTTAGTAGTTTTTGACCAAAAAAGGGCATGACCCCCGTGCCCTGCCCTTCCTATTCACCTGATCTTGCCCCAAGCAACTATTTTTTGTTACCCAGATGAAAAAAGTCCTCGAAGGGAAACATTTTGCCAATGAGGAAGAGGTAAAACAAAAAAACAGCAGAAGCACTAAGAGGCATCAAAATCCACGAGTTCAAAAACTGGTTTTTGTAGTGGAAAAAATGTCTTGATTGGTGTATTGCCTCAAATGGAGAGTACTTTGAAGGTGACTGAAGTTTAAATGTGTAAGAACAAATACACAATTTTTTATAAATAAAATCTTGGCTTAATTTGATTCCCTCTCATATGCCTAGTTTGTTATGTTCCCATACTTTAAGGAAATGTGATTTATGCCTAATATTTTTTTCTTTGATTTACACCTAACTTTTAATGTCTATTTTAAACTTCTGTCCATTTCCAACAAGATATAACTTATACTACCAATTGTGAAGGTCAGAGAGGGGGCATTTGACTTGGCAATGAGTGCTGTTAGGTTTTCCCCTTCCGAAATCCACCTTCTACATAAAATTCACAAAACCAGGCACAAAGCCACAGTGCCCAGGAAAATAAATGACATACAGCTCACTAATCATGAGCTTATATTCTCTGCTGGTATTTACAAGTATATCCCATGTTCAAAATTGCTTCTTTTTTTTTCTACTCTTTTGTCAGTTTTAGCTGAATACTTTATTAGTTACCTATAAATAATGTTTATTTTTTAATAATAATTAATAACAAAACTCCATTTATTTAGATGAAAGATGTTGAGAAACATCAAATAAAACCAATTACAAAGAGTGAAACTAGCACACAGACGGATACACACATATTGCCACCAACAATTGTGAGATCATATGAGTGGAATGAATGGGAATTAAGAAGAAAAGCTATAAAATTGGTTTGTAACAATATTTTCTAAAATTACTTATAGGTTGGGAAATTTTACTATGTTGTTACTCATAGAGTTGATAAGTTATTTTTATAAAACAATGAGTTGTACAGAGTTCTTTGCTCACACAATAATAGTCAGTGTTAATTTATTATTGGCCAGCTTTATATTGTAAGATTTCTTCTAATTTTAAGCATATGTAGAAATACAGAAGCATGAAGCTACTCTCAAATTATACCAGCCAATAACTAGAACAATAATAATGTCTCTCTCTCTCTCTCTCTATTGATTTATATAATAGTTTTAATTTATTGTGTTATTCTAGGAGGTGCTAGTATTAAAAGCACTCTTAATTTCCTGTAATCATTTCAAGTGTACCCTTCTCTTCTTTGGACTTTTTTAAGGAGCAGAATGTTACACCTCTGTTATAGCATAAATATCATCCCCTCTTACTGTGAACATGTCCTTTCCAGAGACTGGGCTCTCTAGTCCTGATTGGCAGTCATCTCAGTCACAGTGGGTGTCTACCATTAAAGCCCATCTTTGAAACTCTCCTCCCCACCTGACTCAGTGGCATTCCCCCCACTCACCCTATTTATAGTGTCTTGTCTTTTTAAACAAAAATGAATTGTAGTATGAGGACAGCAAACACTTTTTATATCTAGGTTTTTCTTACTATATTTTATCCATCTCTTGAACTGAAAAGAGGTGTGGAGATAAACGAAGATGACCTGAATGAGAACAGGAGCCATTTGGAGCTGCTGTAGTAAGGGAGCCAGCCACCATCACTTGTCTCTGGCAGAGGCTCAAGAGTAGGGAGAAGAACAGGAAAGCTTTATAGTGAAAAAAGAGAGGGGCTTCGTTATTCTCTGATTGGAGGTTGATGACATGCGGAAACTGGAATCGGGCATCTTACGTGATTGATTTGATGAGCATATTTGGCTTTCTCTGGTTGGTAGTGGGGCTAAACTTTACACAGATGAACCTTCTCTTCTCATTTCTCAGCCTCCACTTCATTCTTATTCTCACCTTACACTTAATTATGCCCTGGAATTGCATCATGTTGAATGCCAGCTCCCCCTGTATTGCCAACACCACCTGTTGATAAGACAACGTGGGTGGTGTCTTGGCATAAAGTCGTGAAGGAAATCATCACCTCAGCAGGCCTTTGGCAGTATCTCAGAGGAGAAATGGCAAGAATTCATTGAGAATTGGAAGTTTGGTTGAAGGCAGGTCTTTCAGTGCCTGGGTAGGTTAGGGGATGAGATAGGGGCCCAAGTTGGGTTGGATAAAGATCATGAAAAAGCAGCCCAGCACTGATGGGAATAGCAAGGTGACTTTTGAGGCAAGGGATGCAGAGAATCCTAGGGCTTAATCTATGTGCTAATACTTACTACTGAAGAATTGATGTGTTTTTCAGGATACTCTGTAATGAACAGTCTAGTTATTTGCTTTGGCACGAGCCTCTTGGACTAGTAAAATTATGCTAATGAAGATAATGGAATAGTAAAGTCATATTAATATAGACAATAAGCTGTGTGTAAGGAAAGTAATTTTGGTTCTCAATCACCTGCAGTATCTCAAACTCTGAAACGTTTCCTCTCATACCCGTCTCTCCTTAACACACATGCTCTAATGCCTTCTGAGTTTTTTTCTTGGACTTTGCCATGACTTCAGTAACTCATATTCTCCTTTTTATAGGCTTCTCCTTGTTTCTCAGTCTGAATAATCTATTTAACTTTACGTTTACAAGTAATTCACGAAAGGAATAAGCAAAATGTAGAATAATGTAAAATATAACCTGAAAACACCAGGGCTTTTTATATTATAAGTCTTGGGTAAAGCCCATTTAAACAAGACAATGGAAATCTTTAATTGTTGTCTTTTGAAAAAATAAACCAAGCATAGTAGAAAAATCCGAGTTGTATGAAACTCAAAGTATAGTAATGAAGGATTAGAAGATTATATTAACGAATAACTGAACTCACTATATGTTTGAACCTGCATGTTTTTTTGTTTGGGTCCATTTTCATTACTTAATATATTTTCTTACTTTGTGACAAAGTTTGCTTTCTATTACATTCTAGATTTTCTAACATTCTAATGTTTTGTAAAAAAAAATGGTATATTGTAAAACTAATTTCTTTGTGGATTGAGAAAAATAGGCAGATAATAACTGGTAACTGATAATGTTTTATTATGTTATTTGTTCTTTAGAGAAATGTTAATTCCTGTGTATTCTCTTTCTACTTAGGCCAATTTGCATAAGAAAGTTACCCACTCGGTACAAACTGATGTTAGCCACATGAGAAGAGAAAATTGTTCGCAGGTGTATCCTTCAAAGCATGCGAGCACGCAGTCTAAGAGGGAAGGCAGCACCTGCGTGCCCAGGCCTCAGATTTATATAGCTGGTCTCCGCGGTGGTCAGACTAAAACCACCTATGGGGTCAAGGTGAACTTAACTAGAGCTGTTGATGAAACCTAGTTAGAGGCCACCAAGTTATGATAATGGTAAATATTTAAAAGTATTTTTGCACCTGTGAAATTTAGCTAATGTTTGGTGCTGGCACATTCATTGGTTGTGTGAATTTTTTTGAACAAATTAAAAATGGTTTTCTGTGATACATATTTCACTCTATTAAAACTGAAAAGTGAACTTGGTCCGTTCATCTTTTATTTGTTAGAAGTTTGGCAACATTAAGACAAATTTTGATGCCATTTAGATATTAAAATAAGATTATTATGCTTGGGGTAGAAGTTTATTTCTAAAATCACATTTAGTGTTAAACATTAAAAATTTATTTTGTAGTCAATATTTTTAGCTTCATTAGCTATCCACTGTTCACATAGATTAAATTGATATACAGTTGCCCCACTGTATTCACTGCTTCATTTTCTACTGTTTCAGTGACCTCCTGTCAACCATGATCCAAAAATATGAATTGGAAAATTCCCCAGAAATAAAAAATTATTGTTTTAAATTTCACACCATTCAGAGTAGTGTGATGAAAGCTTATACCGTCCTGTTCTATTCCACCCAGATGTGGGTCATCCATTTGTGCCACTTAGCTTTACTGCACATCCAGTTCAATAAGACATGGTAATAGACCACATTCACATGACTCTTATTATTATATATTGTAATTATTTTATTACTTATTATTGTTGTTAATCTTTTACTATGCCTAATTTATGTTAAACTTTACTGTAGGTATGTATGTACAGAAAAAAAAGTATATATAGAGTTGGATACTGTCCTTGGTTTCAGGCATCCATTACGGGTGTTGGACCCTATTCCCCGAGGATAAGGGGCAGGAAATACAGTGTGATAAAACTCCACTAATTGGGAACAATTAGAGCAAAGGTCCACATGATGTTTTTTAGATTCTGGAAATTTTACATAAAGTCTGGATTTCTGGTCCCTTGAAGAAAAGAGAATTATCTGGCAACACTTGGCTAGCATTCCTGTAAAGCAGTGGCTCTGCCCTTTAACAGGACAGGCACTCCTAGTTCTAATCCTTGCTGTCTTGCAGGTCTCCCACTTCATTTCTTTGCCTTATTTGCTTGACCCCTTACGTAGCTGTGTTCAGGGCTCCAGTGAATTACTGACTGAGAAATTTTAGAGCTGTAATTTTTATTGTCTTACATACTTCCAATATCAACTCATAGATAATAAAGGCTTCCAGGCGGAGGGACTGTTAAACCCGCTTTAATAGTTAGTGGTTATTTATATTTAGCATATATACTTTTTCAGCCTAAGTGACTTTTGCTACGGTGTTTGTGTAATTTGTTTTCTATATAGATTGAATGTTATTTGTAACATGAATATGCTTCAAAATCCATTTTCCACAGATTTTATAAAAGTGAACCTCAAACAGACCTACTTCTAAGTTTTCATGATTTTTATGCCTGTAGTTTAAAAGCAAAGTTAAAGATAGGCTGGCTGACTATTAAGGCAAGACCTGGGGTCAGGGGGTAGGGGGAGGGATCTGTCCCAGAAGGAAGTGGGATGGTTATAGCTAATACTAAACTTCGCAAATACAGGAATTTGATTTATCTGTTCTATCAACCCCCATTTGCTTCTGCAAAAGCCCTAAACACAGAAAAGAATGATTGATAAGCCACAATTCAAGGTTATAACATTAAGGCTAAAAGTAAAATTACCAAGTCAATAAAAATACAATTTGAAAAGCTAATCTTAACATTAGAAAGTTTCCTGGTAAGTACAACAGAATCAGAATAAAGAGCGCTAGATCAAACGGTAAATGTATCCTGTCCCAGGTCCTCCACCACCGACCCAAGATTTCCAACCACCTGCCGATGATCCACTGTCAGATGGTCACCTCCGCTTCAGCAGGTCACAGGCTGAATTCCTTTTCTCTGCCAGACTTGTTTCTCTCACTATGTATTTCCTTCTATGGTCAAAGGCATCACCATCAATTTCAGTAGCATGAATTACAAATGTCCTGAGTGTCTTTCTTACACGGCCCCTACACTTAATGAGTCATGAAGCTCTGTTGATTTGGCTTGAATTGTCTTTGGGACTCATGTCTTCCTATTCTCACTGTGACTGCTGTAGTGTAGGATTTAGTCTTACTGCCTGATTCACTAGCGTAATTTTTCTACCACCGAAATCTGACCATGCCACCTGACCTCCTTCCCCAACCTCCACTTTCTTGCTTAAAAACCTACCATGGCTCTTTCCCATTACCTGGGGGATAAAGTAAAAACCCCTTCACCTATTTTGTAAGATTTTTCAAAATATATCCATTTATCTTCAGCTTGCTTTTTCTATACCTCTCATGCTGTCTCCACACACCATACGTATTAGGCAGATTGAACTCTTCAGACATGTCATGGTCCATAATACCACTGCTCTCTACTCTTGTTTTTCACTCTGAAACCTGGAATGTACTCTACTGACATCCCATGAAATTGTTTGTCCTCAAACAGCCTGATTAGAATATACCTTTTCAGTGAAGGTTGTGGCTATTACCTTTGCTTCTTCCTTTGGTTTTTCAGTGGAGTTTGTTTGTTTGTTTATTTGTTTATTTCCCTTCACCCTCTTCCCCTTTGGCAACCATAAGCTTGTTCTCTGCATCTATGCGTCTGTTTCTTTTTTCTTTTGTCCGTTCATTTATTTTTCTTTTAGGTTCCACATATGGCATCTTGTCTTTCTCTGACACCACTTAGCATAATACCCTCTAGGTCTATCCATGTTGTTGCAAATGTCAGGATTTCTTTTTTTTTTTTTGTAATGTTGAACAATATTCAATTATATATATGCATATATATTATATATGTAACTCACATTTTATTTACATATTTATTTTAAGTATTCATTTACTTAAGTTGCTTCCATATTTCCATAGCTTGGCTATTTATTCGTTGTAATGCTGCAATGAACATAGGGGTGCGTATATCTTTTGGAATTAGTATTTTTGTTTTCTCTGGATAAATACCCAGAAGCGACATTGATGGATCATATAGCAGCTCTGTTTTAAATTTTTGAGGAATCACTGAACTGTTTTCTATAGTGGCTGAACTAATTTACAATCCCACCAACAGTGCACGGGGGCTCCCTTTTCTTCACATCCTTACCAGCACTTGTTATTTGTTGATTTATTGCTGATAGCCATTCTGGTAGGTGTGAGGTGGTATCTCACTGTGGTTTTAATTTGCATTCCCCTGATGATAAGTGAAGTTGAGCATCTTTGTATATGTTGGCCAAGTGTATGTCCTCTTGAGAGAAGTGTCTAGTTAGGTCAGATGTGTCATTTATGAATATTTCTCTCCAATTTAGTTAGCTGTCTTTTCATTTTGTTGATAGTTTCCTTTACTGTGCAAAAAGTTTTTAGTTTAATATAGTCCCATTTGTTTATTTTTCTCTTTTGTTTCCTTTGCTCAAGGAGATATATCCAATATATATACTCTTATAGCACTTAAAGTAAATAGTATATATATATTCATATGTATTCTGTTTGATTGAATTTCTTGAGATTCAGACTGTGTTTTAGTGATTTTTATATCCCTGGCATCTGTATAATATCTTATTGGATGACTGAATGAAAAAAAGGAATGAGTGAAAGGACAAACTTGAAGCAGGGCATTTATTGGTTGAGTGATGATTTTAACAGTCAAGATGGGAACTGATAAGGAGTTCAGAAGCAAGGTGCTTATTGGAAAGAAAGAGAGAAGAAACAGATAGAAAACAGATTATTTTTAAGGAAGTGGTAGGAAATAAAGTTAGATAAGTAGGGTTGGCATAGCTTTTGCGGGATTTTGAAAGCCAGGCAGAGGAATATGTTGTCTTCCTGTAATAGGACATTAGAAAAACACTGCAGAATCTTGAACAGAAGATCAATTTTGGGAGAGTGGTTCTGGAGTCGGTTTTGGAATAGCTAGGAAGCTGTTCCAAGGACCAGGGCATGTGGTAATGGGTGATGTGAAGGACCAAATGTGAGCTTTAATGAATGTAATAACATGTCAGGAAAGGGAGGGGGAAAAAAATCAAAGTATAACCTCAGGGTTTCTGCCCTAGATCAAGGGTAATAGGGAAAAGGAACTGGTTGATCAAAAAAAGATGAAGGGTTTAGGCTAGAATATTTGAGTTTAAGGGCTAACAAAAAGAGTAAGGCAGAGAGGTGACTGGAATTTGAGCTGGAAAAAGGTGATTTGGGAGGTCAACCGCCAGGGAATGGGGATGGAATGAAGAGGAAGAGGCAAGACAGAGAAGCAGTCAGAAGAGTGGGAAAAGACATAAAAGAATCTCTATGGTTATGGAAGGAAAGCTTAGGTCTATTACTTACTAACTGTGCTACTTAAAATCTTTTTGTTGCAGTTTCTTTGTCATAAAAACTGGGACAATTGTAATTCTCCAGTTCTTAAGGGGATTAAATGAAATAACAAATATAAAGCCATTAGATGGTAAGGGCTTTGTCAGTGTTAACTAAGGGAGGAGAAACTCCATTGCCTTATTCTACTGCACTCCCATCCTCATTTTTCTCACTTTCTGTTTTCTAGCTCTCAGTGCCTAGAATAATGCTTGGCATGTGTGGCTTTCAGTAAATGCCTGATGACTAAACAAAAGAGGATGAGGAATGAAAAAAGGTCAATGGAGTAGGCAACTGCTGAGCTCTGTTTTAGTAGAATTGGCTTGAATGGAAATAGGATTGCAGCAAGTTTAGCAGAAAATGGTAGAAATAACTACAGACTACATGTCAATGACTGTTGGCAAGAAAAAGAAAATGAGATGTGGTAACTAAAAGAGGAGGCAAAGACAAGAAAGAGTTATGCTAAAAAAAGGAATGTTTAGATTTTGATGCTTATTACACATGTTTAACAGTCCTGGCCCAAACACTAAAATTTACATTGTCTCCTTGTGTTTTTTATTTTCTCAATTATAAAATGCAACAATTCTTCCAGATTGTCTTTAGTAATATTACACCATTGGAGAGAATTGTTCTAAAATAACAATAACCAAGC